AAAAAAAAAACACACACATCGTGGTAAAATCAATACATTCATCGCTCCGCTCAGAATCTAAAATAACATCACTTATGCTTATTATACTTTTTTTATGTACTTTTTTTATGTAATTTTTTTATGTATAAAATCTAGATTAAAAAAAAAAAAATTATTCACTTTTTTTCAAAAACGAAAAATACTTTTTTGACGAATTGTTTTCTTCTTCAATTACACACACTAGCTATATACTCGTATAATGATAGACAGTTGTGCATTAAAAATATCTCAAGAATAATCATATATGTAAGTAATTAAGATCAAATATGATAAAAATGTTTCTAGATAATATATAAATTAAATTAAAATCTAGGGGTTCGAACCTTCGATTCACTCGAGAGTTTATTTTGTACCTACACCATACGAACGGTTTCTGTACGTTATAAATTGTCTGTAAGCCAATATCCACAACTATACAGGAATTGRAACTTTTCTCACAATAAAATSGTCCTTTTGCATAAAAAAAATATCACCAGTTGTAAAGTAGGTATCGAGTTTACAGTGTACCTCATCATTGTCGGTAGGACAACTTAACGGATGTGATAAGTTACTTTTTAGATTAACTCAATGATAAACAATTGCTTATGAAAACGATTGTTGGCGGAAAAGATACGTTTTTTYCAATCTATTTTWAAAGATGTTTTATAATTTTATTAGACTACAGTAGGTATATAATTTATTTTTCTACGAGTCGTGCAATATAATGAATTATATTTTAATTTTTAATATCACTAACAAAAATCAAAATATATATTAATATAGCCTAAAAACTAAACTCTTAAATTAAATATTAAAGACATATAATATCTGCTAAAAATCAAGATAAAATCAAATTTAAGTGTTTAAAAACACTTCACATAATAACAAATGCTCCACTTTAACTTTAAATTAACCCTGCATAATCATATTTTCGTTAAATCAATCGAGAGTAAACTTTGTTACAGTTGAATTTTTACTTCTTAGAAATCCTAATCGCAGACTTAAAATAAAGTATAGTTGTGATTATTATTAACGCTGGGGATACACTTAATCTTTTAATCTCAAGCTGAGCGTCACTATAAATGAGTGTATTTTTATACACGTAACTCCATTTATGTTTTTTCTCCCTTTTATAACATAATCTTACAATTACTAAAATAAGTATACTAGATAGTAGATTATATGTATAATATTCTTATAATTTTTTTTTTTTTAGTTTAAAATTCAAAAATAGTTAACCAATTAATTAAAGTCTTCTCTTATAATAATCAAATGTCTTTAAAAAAWGTTTGGTTATATATTTTTAAATTTACGTCAGAAAACTTATAAAAAAAAGTCAAAAAAGCTTTGAATAAAATTGTTAAGCCCTATACCTATTTAAATTGAAAATGATATACAATATGTTTCATTCCAAAGTATTTTGAAAATTATATTGTATCTAAAAAAATATTAAAATGTTAATATTTTGTGAAAGTTTTAAGAATCTACGATTTTGTATTTTTTTATTAGGTATAACAAAATGTATCTTCAAAGTGCATACTAAGTTTAATTGACAATTATATAACAGAAATCACCGTAAAGTAGAAGATAAAAGCACTTATAGAGTTTATCTTGTTAGAAGATTGAAATTTATCACTTTTTTTAATAATACAATACTTAATATTTAACTAAAAAATGTATGGATAGGTTTAATTGAATTCTGTTACCTTAGTGCCACCAAGTTCACGGACATAAAAAATGTTGAGCATGTTTTCAATACTGTACGTTTTTGATTTCCATGCTTTCATTAAAATGAAAATAATAATAATGAATAGCTTGGACATAACAATATTGTTCTTAGTAGCTGAACAATGAATTAATRGTAATTGTATATTTTGCCCGCACTTTGCATTGTATTCTTGAAAGCACCTTACAAAAGTTGCCCAGATGTAGTATTGTACATTCTATGTTTCGCTGATGACCTGTAGGTTAAATAATCGGGGATTTGCGTATGATTCAGATTATGTAACGGTCGGATGTAGTGAAATTGCCTATTCAAAGCGCCACGTGATAAATGTCTTTGGCGAAACCTTGCGAACGTTTTGATTTACAAATGTGATAGCTTTATCAACGTTATTCATGTCTAAAGTTCTTTAGTTCTTTGAAATTTTAATACGTTTTACTCTTCTTGTGAAATTATTTGGCAGTATTATTACTAGGAGATTTATGGTTACAACAATTCACCATCATCTTCTATTGATACCGAAATGACCAGATTAAAACGAATATTATGCTTAAGTACCAAATAATAACGTTAATCTAATGTTGTCAGACTTATTCGTACACAAATAAGGTAGGTATTATTAATTTTATAATCATAATATAAAAAACAAAAATATTGCGTATGAGTTTCATGCTTTATATTTTTGAGCAGTTATGCTAAAACCGTATTATTAAAAAAATAAATATTTGTAATCTAATCATATCATATGGCATTTTGGTAAATGGTCTAAATTTAGGTAAATTAGTAGGGATAAATATTTGTGTTGTTGTTATATGCTACTATTATTGTTCTTATGAATTATGATTATATAGCATATGATATACTGTATATCGATAAATAAATTAGTAATGCGGGATTATAATTTGCAATACTGAAATATTATTTCAAAAAATTAGACTTTATAATTGATTGTTTTTAAGAAAATCAAAAATGTTGTTAATCAAAAGATAAATTATTTTCAATGRTCGTATATTGTATACATCACGCGTAGTTTTTACGTGCTCACAGAATTTCGTACATTTARTGCGCTAAATTTCGGCGTCGAAATTCTGAGTAGGTATATAACAAATTGTTGGCGTGTCKACCGATTAGTCATAAAATCACACGAACGTTTTTGAACACGATTGCCAATAATAATTAATACCGTCGTAGTTTGACGAACGTGTGTAATTATCATAATATACCCATCGCCGCTGTTGTCTCTTTTTTTGAAAATTCTACGGTAAGTTTCTACACACGCACACACAGACATTTATTATATATTTATAAATATATTGTGAGTGTGCGTGGCGCTAAATAATCGTTTGTATTATCGCCGCTATGAGGTTGTCGTTGATTACGGTATGGCGTGAAAGCCGCCGCCGTTTGGTGTTCGATACGCGCGGCTCCCCCTTTGCTTTCAACCCGCTGCAAAATCGGTACCTAATGGTTTTCGAACACGTGAAACGTTTTTTTTCGCGTTTTAATTCTTTTTCACGCACAACGAATCTTACACTTTACACCACACTACATCGTGGCGCGCACACCTTATATTTTATGTGATCGTTGAAAAACGAAATTTCCATCGGTGGTTACTCTATATGAACAAATATTAAATTATATTACGATATTGTTGTATTGCGGCAGTGTAGGCTGAAATGCCACTGGGCGTGCGTTTTGGAAATGCCGGCGATGACTTTTACAACGGTCGTGGTCGTAACCACCAAATGGACGAAACGACCGGAAACCACAGCAGAGGCGCCTGTGCCGGTGGCGGCAGGCCCACGAAGAAATTGGGAGTCGTGGCCAAAGCGGTTGCTGCGACCGTGTCCGCTGATAGACTGCAAGGGGTCTCCTGCGCCCAGAAGGACGTGAAAAACGGTAAGATTTTCGTGTTTTCAGTTTTCCCATGCAAATCTATTGTCGTTTCAAAATATAGACGTTGAAACATAATTTGATTACACGTAATATGGTTTGTTCTATATATCTATAATATAATTGTCTAGTTATACGTTATCATTATTTAATAATATATCCATGTAAAGATAGTTATATGTTAAACAATATACAGTATAACATGTTTATTCCATTTATTTCGTATTGAAAATTAATACTGAACAGTATAGTAATAGGTACATCAATACATATGATAGTATTATGATGTATATTATATAAAAATATAAGATATATTTATATAATATTATAAGATTCTGGTAGTCGATAGGTAATATTTCAATAACTGTATATCTACCAATAATAAGTGTTCGTTCCATATGCGCAAATTAACATATTATACATATACAATGTTTACTAATTGCCTCAATGTCTGGTAAAATACTCGTTTCTATATCTATCTATGAATGGTTCATACATTTATCGTTTTTCTAACAAAAATATTTAAAATTGTTTAAAATAACAAACAAAATATTAAATACTCAAGACCTAAAAACATGCATTATCAAAAACGTTATTACGTGTCCATAAAATGCTTAACTTTTATTTTATCATTAATTCTTACCTAATTTATAATCGTTATAATATAAAATAATGTTTTAACATAATTTAATAAAAAAATGAATGTTGAAATTAGGAATGTAATAATATTGATATATAATAATATAGATCGCGCATTTATTATTGTAGAACCACCTCTGTTAATAAGAAAATTATTATTTTTTGTGCTTTACATATATATATATATATAGTTGTTATCTATTAGGGGTTGTCACAGAAATATATTACATGAAAAAAACATCATAACGAGTGAATGACGTGTTTCGTTAATATTTCTTTAACATGGTATCAATATATCAGTACCAAAAGTACAATAAGGCAAGTACTGAAGAAATACGTAGATAACAATGTTTTGAAACACATCTAGAGTTTCTGACTAGTTTTTTGGGCCAAAATCATCCTCGGGTTTTGCTAAAGCTCGTATACTCGTGGTGGTTATAAGGGGAGGGGTGATAGGTGGACCGCCTCCCCCCTTGGGATCTTCCTTGATCATATTTTATCATTTTAACCACGGATAGTAACTAGTATATTATATTGGTCTGTGGTTTTTTTCTGTTGTCTATGAAATCTGATTAGAATATGTGATTAACACACGGATTAACTAGGTATAAAAGTTTTTTTCTTTCATTAAGAGATCTTAGAGCTACATGTATAATAAATTTTTTATGTTTAGTTTTTAAAATTGAAAATAAAAAATTTTAAATTTCATTAGAAATTTTTTGGATAAATTCAAAATAGTTAGAACCTATTTGTGAATCTGATTAATGATTATATAAGAACAATTTTGAGGATAAACAGATTTATCTAAGTCAAGTAGCTTATTTTATAGAATTTTTATAAAATTCAAAATATTTTTGGTTAAATTAATTTTGGAACGTGCATATTAACTTTTTTTTGAAATTATAATTTTTGAAAATTTTCTTACATGCAGAGATCGAAACCGGTTTTTCAAAAACCGGTTAGAACCGCGGTTTGTTCATTATTAAACACCGGAACCGGAACCGACACCAAAAGCTTTAAAACACCGGTTAAAAAACCATAACTGAAACCCGAGGCCTTCAAAAAACCGTTTATAAAACCCAAACCGAAACCATAGAATTGAAAAACCGTTCTTGATCAGTTCTTGAAAAACCGATTAAAWTTTAAAATCAATATMGGTTTCTTCAAATTTTATAAAGTTAATTATATTATTTATAATTCTAGTTAAAACGAGTATTTTCATTCGAAGAAAATAATATGTTGGAATTTATTAATAAAAATCCCGATGC